TCTCTCTCTCTCTCTCTCTCTCTCTCTCTCTCTCTCACCCAAAGCAAAAAGCCTTTTCCCAGTTCAGTTCTGGGAGCAAGGGTAGAAAAAAAAACCCCTTGTTTCAATTAATGTGAACCAATCCAAGTACCGTTGTCTATCTATCCCCTTATAACCTTTCTTCAAACAAATTATAATCGGTTTTCATTTTCTGATCTAATCTACCTTCGAACAAAAAACAAAGCCTTACCTTGATAACGTCGGTTAACGTCTTATTCTTCTTGTCTGTACTAAAAACTTCAAGACGATTAGTTACAATTTGAAACCATAGAATGCTATACTGTTCAGCACTCCAGCTGCTACTAACTGTTCGTTCTAATCGCTCGAGAATGACTGACAAATCTGATTCGTATTCCTACTTACAAATAACTTGTGAAGTTTACTCGACTGGTTGATGCAAATACCAGATCTAGAACAAGAATGACAGGTACGGCATCTTTTATCCTCTGAAAAATTTTTAATTCCGGTAATAAATTTTTCGACCACTTGGAGAACGTATGGAACTTTGGCTTTCTAACTCTATTATACCATTAAAATGAGATTCGCGTTATAAAGAATTCAAGATTGAGGGAATCTACTTAGCTATATAAAAACACCGCGAGCCAAACTGAAGTATAGCGCTCGGAGCTCTTGATGCACTGAAAACATGAAAATCTTTGTTGGATGACAAATAGGCGACAACTTCAAAATCTCCATTAGTAACAGGATGTAACGCATTTTATAAAGGTTTTTAACACTTTTTTACATTTTTATTTTCAAATATTTTAAGTGCGATGCAGTTGTTAAGTATGATGGATGATGACCATATTCTTCGCTTCGTTTCTATGACACAGACCTTCAGATTTATCCTTTTATATTTGACTTAAAGCAAATTGAATTATTAAATGATACAATGAATAAATGCTAAAGAATAACTGAAATTCGATTGAATCTTATAATAGGGTCTGTGGCACTATAATGGTTTCCTTTCTTTATCCAATCAATAAGGTCGTCTAAGTCACGTGACATCCTAGGGAATTTTTTTCAGATTCAGTCTCATCAGCATTATCGCATTTGTCTAGGTGTATTTCTATCAATCAGTCATTTCCAGAGTCCCATATCACAAAAAAAAAAAAAAAAAAAAAAAAAAAAAAAAAAAAAAAAAAAAAAAAAAAAAAAAGGATCGTGTCGGCCTTTTTAGCGATTCAATGGCAGTATAAAGAACTTGCGTATTCATCATCTTCCTTAATACGAGACCGATAAGCTAGTTTACTTCCAGCTAAAAGACTTCAATCATCGGATTATTGATGAACAGTCAGATCGTGTATCGCATCCATAGGGCAAACCGGCTACGCGATATTCTTTAATATAGCACTAGAATTGAGACCGCCACAGCACAAATTTAATTGAATTTCGTCAGAAATGCCTAATGATTTTCACCTTCCATGTAATTATTGACTTAGTTCTATGACTTGTGTGGACGTTCTTGACAGGCGGCGCTTTCCCACAGGTTTTACCGCATATCCCAACCACTTAACATAACATTACTTTCACAAATAAGGGTCAGGACACTTGATGAATTGAGTAGCGTAGATAAGTCATATTTTTACTGCCATTATTAATCTAGACGCGTGTGATATTGCTTTCACAACCTGGTTGCCGCGTTCTTATCTGTCTCTGAGTGACGCAGAGAAAGATCGAGAAGATTTCCCCCTCAAACTTTAAAAACCTCTGATGAAGAAGTATCTAGAGAAGAGTGAATTCGTGCAGATTTGAACAAGATATAAACAAGTGCTCATCGATGAAGGTCGCTCGATATTTGGTATACTGATAAACATGCATGATCAAAAAAGGGCTTCAAACAGCAGAATCAGAACTAGCGACACAAGCGTACAGCTGATGAATTGGATAAGAGAGTAAAATAAAAAAAAGCAGTTCTAAATAGAAAGAAACAAATCATTTCCAAACTTGACTGCAGTTCAGCGAAACGAATTCAGAAAATACTAGATTTACTCGTTTTATCGATAAGCCTTTGTTTATCTATTGTATTCATCATGCTCTTTACTGAAGTTTTGTCGTATTATGAGCTAAAAACCTTGATATGATTCTATCGATAGCCTAGAGCGTTGCCAAAAGCAATCAGTTCGCACCATCGCAACTCGTCTTATCATACAAATTGCACTATGTATCTTTTATCTTTTGTGTTTTGTGCTTGAATTATTACTTTATTGATTCAGATATAGGTTTCGTTCAGCCAATCGGATCTGTTTATTAACCCACAACTAGATTTAGTTGACAACGCATGTGGTCGTTTGAATATTACTGGCAATGTAACTCAATTTAGGGTGTTGCGCCTTTCTTTTCATTTATCTATCCATCCGTCCATGCATCCATCCGTTCGTTCGTTCTTTCCTTCCTCCGTCCGGTCCACCCATCCTTCCATCACTCCATCAGTCCATCCCATTCGTCCATCCCATTCGTCCATCCCATTCGTCCATCCGTCCATCAGTGCATTCG